TTGGTTGTTCATCACTTTGATGATTTACCACTTAGACATTTATTAGTTCTCTTATTTAGAACTTATTTATTTTCTTATTTTACAAGAAAAATATAATGTAATTTGCATCAAGAATGACTATCTTATGCTTAAGTATTTTATCCACTTAACTATACTAGGCATTGTATATTAACTTAGGTACTTTTTTACCTTTGCCTAAACACCCCCACATTTCTAAATATTAATGTGGTTAGGTCGGAATATTTAATTTATGTGGTTAGGGCCTAAAGACCCCCACATTTCTAGATATTAACGTGGTAGCTCGGGATATCTAATTTCCCCCACAAATTCTAGAGTATGTATTCTAGAATTTGTCAATATGATATCCATAAACCTTTTCCAAGAGTTTCAATACTCATTTTTTAATTCATTTGTCAAAGTTGCATTTTCCAACTTTCATTCAGATAGCATTTAAATGCTTTGAAATCCTTATTTTTATTTATCAATAAGGATACACAATGTAACAAAATACATTTCTTCTTTAGTTAGATAAATATACTGGATCACCAATATGATTTAATTACAAAAGAAATTGTATTTCAAGAAATCACAACAAGAAAAATCTTCTCAAGATACTTAAATCTTGTCAACAATTAAGATAATAAGATTTCTTCTTTTTCCTCAAAAGAGAAACTCGTCAAGATACTTAAATCTTGTCAATAAACAAGAGAATATTAATCTCTTCAAATGGTGGTTGATCTCCACTATTCAACATTAAAGTTAGAATATATAAATTCTAATCTTAATCATTCATAATTTAGGATTGCATGTCCTAAACATGCTGTTCAAAATTCAGTCAAATCCAACGATTTAATTCTACAAAACGAGCTCTTAAGTAAACTGCTCGAATTTTATTTCAACAAAACATCCATTGTTGTTAACAACTATTTCGGATCTTTGAAAAATCAAAATCCGATCTCATCCATTCACATTGTAGATCATTATTTTGCAAATGTGATATCAAATCAAATCAAACCAACGATTCGATCTTCTTTTATGTTCTTGAGACAAGAACTACTCATGTGTTATCATGAATTGAGCTTCTCTTTCTTTCAATTTTATTTCAAATCATGCTTTTAATTAAACCGTAATATGATTCATATGTACATCAATATTATAATAAACATAATATTTGACATGTAAGCACGTCTTTCATACTAGTTGATCATAGAAAGAAACAATATATCAAGCATATTATATCAACATATACATAGTATACGCACGAGTATATAATAACATCAAATTTGAACATAATATTTCATGGCATAAATAAATTCATGTCCAATATAATGAATCGATAAAAATTCTATAGCACGTAATCAATGCATGTCAACGCAATAACACAATTCTAAGGAATTAGTATGGCTTACGCAAAAAATAATATGTATAATAATATTCCTCTTACTAAGTAACTCATACTTAATATATGAGACAAGTCTAATCGATCATGACAATAATAAAAACGTTAATAAAATCACGTACTCACATATTCGAAAATCAATCAACCGGACAGTTCCACATCAAATTGGGAGAAAGTTAATCCCATATCAAACTATAAGCAATTTATGCAAATAAATATTGCATTTCCATGAGAATGTCATTAGTATAGCACTTATCATGCGGTTTATGATAAACTTATTCAAATAATTAGCACATACGCTATCACTTTATTTTATTTGGGATAAAAATATTTCTATTATTAATGTACATACACAAACATCGTGAATATTCATTAAGCATATATATTGTATATGGTTTACCATGCTTCCACATAGAAAATTAAACTATCATGCAATAATCCACCATTATATCATATAGCATTATCAATATATTTCACAAATAGATTCTTATAATTAAAAAGCGTACCCGATAAATTATATGTTCGTCAATTCAAACTTTGTGGGTAGCACCAAATCATGTCAATATTATGGCAGTGCTGAATAATTTAATCATATCTCTTCCGTCTGAAGTCCGATTTTGTTGATTCAATATGATCCGAATAGCCAACAAAATTTTCTACAACTTTTATCTTTTACGTTTTCTGAGATTCAGACTGGGTCATGATCAAAATAAGCCTCGAAGTCGGAATAGGTGTGCTGTAAATTTGCACCTACAATGGAACCAGAAAAAAAATATTAAATAATATTCATGAATCGAAAATAATATAAAACCTCATTATTGATCTTCGATTCAGTCTTCTTTCACCAAAATTTCGTGCATTGGACATTGGTGAGGCGTTAATATGGGACAAGTTGCATTGGTCACGAACGGTTGTATTTTTTCATGAAAAGGTGCATCGGCAGTTCTGCCACCCTTTCGTGTTTTCATCATAACTTCTTCGTACGATCTCCGATTTTGACGATTTAACACGTTCTGGAAAGCTAATTTGATTATCTACAACTTTTGTGAAATGTTAATTTTCCATATTCGGAATTTAACACCTTCGAAAATGGGAAAGAATGTGGACTTCATGTTCTGTCCGCAAAATGAACTTTCTTCCAATTGTATTTTGTAACTTCTTGATTTTTGGCAGACTATCTTCTTCTCCATCTCGTTTACCCACGTGTGCAGAAAACACAATTTACTAAATCACAAAAATTTCGTCTTAAGATTGTTGCTCCCGATACATAAAAGGGGTAGTGAATTTAGTAAATTGGTTGAACAAATTAATTAATTGTTGGAAATCTGCTATGAACGAGAATTTTGCCGAGGCGAGTTGTCTCTGTCCTTAAGACGAAATTTCCCCGCAACGGTGCTAACGGATTAAATGGAAATCGTCTCCCAAGATACAACGGCAAAACTTGGAATAGGAGCACTCCAAATCCCAAGTACGACGAACTGTACTTTGTGTAGAACTTTTCGAGAGAATCTGTGAAGGGTAGGCTTAATATGTAGTAGGCTTGTTTTGGATTGAAGTGAGGAATTTTGGGAAAGTTAGGGTCTATTTATAAGGTTCGAAAAGTAGTGTCCTTTGGAGCAAAAAGGTACCTTTTGTTTTGAATGGTTGCACCATTTCGAGTTGAGCCAATTGGGAGTGGTTGCACCATTTCGAGTTGAGGCGAATGGTTTGCATTGGTTCGGCCGCACCAATTCAGACCAATCAGACCAATCGAGATGGGCTTCGAGTAATAAGGGCCTAATGGGTTAAAAACCCATGACCTAATGTTTTTGGCCCGTCCCAATATTTTGATATATATACAGCTCAGTACTTCTCTACTTTTCCAATGTGGGATAACTCAAATCCCACTTTCCTTATATTTTGGACTAGTATTTTTTTCATTCACCACAAAATTGGTTCTAATCCAAAATTCATTTATATACTCAATTAGACCGTACAATAACATTGATAAAAAATTGTTCATGACTCAATTTTTAACCAATTTTCCCAACATAAAAATTGATTGAAAATAAAAAATCGATTTTGGAACAATGCAAATTCCGAAAGTTCCGATTCCAAAATTTTCGACTTTTTTGAATTGGAATACATATCATACTCCGATTCTCGATCCGATTTTAATTCCCAAAAATTCCGATTATTTTCCAAAAATTACACTCGTAATATCGATATTATTATGTATTTTGTATTACAGGTGACTGAAACTCTAGAATTTCCAAATTCCTTCTATTCCGATCCAAAAATTTCAGGTTTTGGACACATTTTTTTCATTTTGATTTTTGATTTTTCCGGTTTTGTTTTTGAAATGGAATTGGAATTAGATTTTTCCGAAAGTACTAATTTCTGATTCGATCCGTCCAATTTCCACCCTTAGCATCGGGTACATGAAGTGTTTAAAAAATAGATTTTTTTTTAATAACCAAAAACTCGATATTTTTTATTTTATATAAAAAAAAAAAAAACACTAATGTGTTGTTATGTATATAGCTATATAGAAAGAGTGGTCCAAAAAGGAATATAATATTATTACATGAGATGCTATTACCGAATAGTTGTATTGGGAAAATTGGCTTCAAAGTCAGCTATCCAGCTGCCTGTGTTACAAGACAACTAACAATGTATTGGAGGGGCTGTTTGGTCCTACACATATGGGCATAGGGCTCCATTTTTATTCACACACAATTTTCACCCTTGTAGGGTTTCATGTTTTGTTGCTATAAAAACTTTATATATTTATATATATATATATATATATATATATATATATATATATATATATATATATATATATATATTTTAAATTATTTTCCCTCTTTTGTCGTTTCTTCTTCTTTTTCCCCCCTAAGGAGCCATAATTAGTTTAGTATGTTTGTGAAATGATTGATAAGGGAATTCAGTGGTTTGGTTTTATTCGATTCGTGTTTAATGTATGTTGGTTTCGATTAATGTTTATCGTGTTGTCTTTTCACGAAAAATATTCTCATAATTTTGTTAGTTAAAAGTCTCTCACATTCTCAAACGCTACAGTCCGGGAGTTGATACGCGCGTCTTCTCCGTCTCAGTTGAGTCAACTGATCTGTATCAGTTGAGTCGATCAATTTAAATTAGTTGAATCAACTAATTCGATTTAGTTGAGTCACTAAAGAAACTGATTTAAATTAGTTGACTTAATTGAAACGGAGAAAGACGAGGTGGTTAGTTGTCAAATTTGACACAAGTTAATGAAAAAACAGATTGAAAGGCTTAGCTCAAATAAAAAGTAATGTTATGTCATAACTTCCTTACTTTGTATTATTCTTGTATTTTATTGTAATATTGTTTCACGGATTGGTCCTATTGATTTTTTTCACAAGTATGCAAGTCAAGTTGTATTAAAGGAGAGTTAACAAATAAACATTCATTACAAGAAGTGTTAAAGAATTAAAGAGCTTTTAGCCATGTGATAGAAAGTTTAAGGACTTTTAAGATAATAAAAAAATATTGGTGTCCTAATAAATAAAAAGATATTAGGATTAAGGGACTTAAAAGAAAATTGCCCCCATCAATAACAATATTGAACCCGACATGATTTTTAATTGTGACAATCTTTAAGAAGCTGGACACCTTTGTTACCATATTGTAGATGTTACAAAAAAAAAATGGCAAATAAATCAAAAGATGCAGACGAATTAATCGGAATCCTACATTTTCACTAATCTCGTCGCAAAGCTCTTAAATTAAAAAAAAAAAAAAAGAAAAAAAAATCTGAAATTCGAAACATAAATTTCAAAGCTCACTCGTCTTTTCGAGCTTTTGATCTAGGCTGCCTTGCTGGCTTAATGATTTTGCCTAGTAGGATTAATACAATCGGGATAATCGTCCCAATGTAGTATACACTCCCGTACGCGGCTACTGTTTCGCGCATACTTAACACCTGTGTGTGTGTGTGCGTGTTAAAACATCATATTCACTTATAGCTAAAATTTGGGAAAAATACACTTTCGCCCTTCAAGTTTACCTCAATTCCACATTTGGTCCCCATGTTTACAAAAAAACAGACTTAGTCTCTCATGTTTCAATAGTTTAACATTTTTGGTCATTTCCGTCAATTTTCCGTTAATAAAATGACCAAAAGTGTCAAATAGTTGAAACATGAGGGACCGAATGTATATTTTGTGAACATGAGGGACCAAATGTGAAACCGGTGCAAACTTGAGTGACAAAAACTGTAATTTTCCAGCTAAAGTTTATTAAGATAAATTGTTGCAAAGCAGTTGTAAGGAAATAAGGTGAAGAAAAATTATTGAATTAACTAACCATGAAACCGATGCATGAGTAGTTGAGAATGAGAAGGGTGTAAGCGAAGTTCGAAAACACGAGCAGGTTCTTGAGTACAGCTGTCTGGCTGGCTTGCTGCCATCTGTAAAGAACTGCTTGTAGAAACAAATCGAAATTAGAACGAAGAAATATTGACCATATCGATGTAATAATAATAATAATAATATTAGTATGTGCCTGAATGCTTACCTCTTGAACCAGCAATCATCGTAGCAGATTGAACGAAGAATATGATGTAGCCAGGATATAATCCCTATGATACGATGAAATTGTTTCGAGTCAGTATATATATATATATATATATATATATATATATATATATATATATATATATGGAGAGAGAGAGAGAGAGAGAGAGAGAGAGAGAGAGAGAGAGAGAGAGAGAGAGAGAGAGAGGTGAGTTTATGCTTACGTGCCAAACTGCACTAACTGTTTGAGTAGCCAGCAACTGGAAAAAGCCCGGTTTCTTACCATTCTGAACCAGCCTCTCATATACATCTACACAAAAACAACAAAAAATTTAGATGGGGACAGCTTTTTTTTTCTTTCAGATGATTACAGTTAGGGGTCGAAATCTGACGGATCAGATCGGAATAGCACTTTTGGAAAAATTCTTTAAAAAAAAATCGGAAGTGGAGATAGTTCCAATTCCACTCCAAAATTTGATCGAAAAGTTCAGAAATCGGAATTTCGAAAATGGGAACGAAAAATCTAGTTCCAAAATCAGAGAAAAACGGATCGGAAATCGGGAAAATTCGGAAATTTCAATTTTTTGGTCACCTACAAAATTGAAAATACCTAACAATATTGATATTAAAAGTGTAATTTTCATTCAAAAAAGAAAAAAAAAAAAAAAAGTCAGAGTTTTCGAAAATATTTTTGGAAATTGAAATTGGATCGGAAATGGGATTCTAATATGCATTCCAATTCAATTACAAAAAGTTCAAAATCAGAACTTTCGGAATTTGAAATGAAAAATAGTTCCGAAACCGGAAATTTTCGAATCAGAATCGGTGGGATTCGGAATTTCCGTTCTAATTACAATCGTAATTTACGACCTGTAAAAGAAAAACACAAAATCGCAAGCATATGGCAAGTTTCCTAGTTAATCATTTCAAAAAAACGGGAAAGCTAGGCATAAATATTCTTCATTAACACCAAATTATTTAATCAATCATGGCTTATCTTACAAAACAACCAGACGAGGCCTAAGTCTCAATAGGTAACTCACAGTGTCTAAGCCAGGTGCTGACTTGGATATTCCACACGAGCGGCAACTGCACAGAGCTCTTAGCCAACTCAACACCCAAAACATCGACATTTTTCGCGCGGTCCCACCTGGCTTTCGGTGGACTAGCACCCGTCCAACCACTAAACCCCAAGCCAGAAATAATAACCGAAGCTTCCGAAATCGACCATATAAAATAATACTTCCAACGAGCTGTAAATCCCGACATATACTGATACCCCAACCGTTTCCAAAACCCGTATTCTTGATATACCGGATCTGTAAATCGAGAAAGTGGGAAATACGGGACGAGATATAGATACAAACCCATACAGAAACCAGCTTGTATAAGAGCCCGAAAAGTCGGCCAATACGGAGATGGGGACAATCCCTTGTCTGAACGTTGCCAGATCTGTCATAATCATAAAGATTAATATTTTGAAATTGTAATAATGAAATATAATACGGTAAATACGTATACCCCTTTTCTCTCGGTCCATTGAAGGTAATCTTTCATCTCATAAACGGGTCCCGCAAAGTGGCTTCCGCAGCATAAGCAGTAGCCGACGTACTCGAGTAGAGACGGAAGATTGAGCAGGCGGTTTTTCTTTTGTGCTTCGCGTAGATTTTCTTCCTCTTTGAGCAATCCGTCGTTGTAGTTAATGACACACGATATGATTTTTAGGGTTATCACCATTAGAGCTCCTGCGAAAGATCGAATGTGTTGGTACTACTTGTGTAATAAAATAGCCTTCTCGTTTTTTGTTTTTTTAACTGCGCGCGCTCACCTGTAGCGTCTATACCTCCTTCCTTCCATGCATCCCCACTCATGTAGTATACATGGCTACACATGTAAGCCAACATTAAACATAAAAAAATAAAAATTGAAAGACTTTTTATATGAAGGCGCAATCTAGCAGTACGGAAATATGATCTTTTGATCGGCACAAAATAATAAACAAGTTTTCACACTAACACCGTCTGATAAAATAACTAAATCCAAATCAAAATTGTAAGAACGAAAGAAGTGAAATGAATATCACTCGTAATTTATCACTTGGCACATGCAGTAGTCATGCTACATTTTTTACTTTTTTTAGTCATGATTTTTAGAGGGAAAGAAAACGAAAAATGCTCGACGCCAATAAGGTATAAAATGTATGTTTCCTGCCATATGTAAATTACGACTTTCCGCTAACATTTCGAAACTCCACAAAGAAAAAAAATCAAAGATTTATAAACATTCTTTTATATAATAAAAACAAAAGAATTTTGTTCATCTCTTTTTCTCCAAGTCGACGAGCCATTTCAAGGGATCAAGTGACTTCGCCAAATAAGAATAGTAACTCTACACCTCACCATTTAAACAAGCACATGAGATACTGGTACTTTATTTGCCTATTGGATTAAAGTAACTCGTTTGTGGAACCCAAATTGAAACGAGAAATTACCAGTTGAGCAATATATGTAAAACTGTCGTTGCTTGTTATATAAGCAACAAAACTTTTAATAATGTAGGAAGTGGAAGCACAACTTATTTGCAACATCCTGAATTTACACCAACACATTTTTCATCGGGTTTTTTTTAGACAGACGAAAGTAGAACGCAGCTTTAGGACACTCATCGATCTTACACTCGAATTCCAGGTACAACCTTAATCAATTCTGTTTTCAACAAAGATTATATACACATCTAATTCATTATATACTCTATATTTCATAAAATCAACTAATAATTTTCGATATTCTGAATTGCATTAAATAAGAAAGTTCACAGCTCCGATCATCATCTGACAGCCTAGTACAGCTCAAAAATAAGTTCAGACAATACCCATGTATCAATTGTTCGACAGCACCTTACAAAAACACAAAAATTGAAACCTCGGCCAAACACAAGACAAACAATTCCGAAAATCAAAATCCTAAAAGGCACCATGCTCGAAGCTAAAGCATCGTACGAATCGAAAAATTAGGGCATAAATTCGGTAAAAAGCAAAAGGGGGAAAAAAAAAAACTGACCATCCGATGAGGTATCCAAATGCGAGAAAGAAGGTAATAATCCCACAGTGCTTCCGACAAAGCACCATCGACGCGTAGCCCAGGAGCATCGGCACCAGAAAATGCAAATTCGACGAGAACCCGAACGAGAGGTAGGAGAGAATCGCGCCGGTGGCGGCGGCGTAGAGGTGGCGGGCGGCGGGTCCGCCGGGGACGAAACGGTGGAGGAAGCCGACGGGGATGGTGGCGACGAAACAGAGAAGGAAGCGGAGGACGGCGACGGAAACTCCGATCGCCGACGCCATGGATTCCATCTCCGGCAGGTCCATATTTTGGGCCGGCCAACTAGCAATCTGAGTTGAAGTTCTGTGGTTCAACTGCCGGCTATGCTTATAGGACAAGTAGTTGTTTTCTCTGATTTACCGTTTTACCCCTTAGTTTTATCATGTAACGATGTGCTTTTATTGGGGGGTATTGTTGTAATAAACATAACTTGGTTTTTATTTGATTTTTGGAAAAAGATTATAGGTGGGAGAATATGAAAGTTAAGAGAATATAAGGGTCTACGTGTAAGATAATAGATAGTTGAGAATTGTTTGTAATTATTTAGATATGATGAGTTTTTTCGTAATTTGATTTATTCAAAGGTTTACGACACTATCTTGACAATAAATTCTGAAAAAATGAATTTAAGTAAACAGATATACATAATTTTACGTAAAAATGTAATAAGGTTTTTATGCTATAAAGAAGAGATTTTATAATAGTTCTTTAATATTATATGATAGGTATAAACGATTTTATTTTTTAATTCGAAATTTCTTATTCTTAAAGAAATGTAGAATTAAAAAAAACGTCATATGTCAAATTAAATATTGGATATTGGAAATTTCGCAATCGAAATTTGGTTTCACATGAAAATATCATTTTTTGTTTGTAAGTGTGTCTTGTTCAAGGTTGTAAAAATCGGTAATCGGGTCCGAGTCGGTCAGGCACCGACTCACGATTAATCGGTGCGGCGGTGATTAATCGGTGATAAATCGGAAATAAATCGGTTTTTAAAATTTAATATAATATATTTCTAAATATTATTTATACATACTCCAAACATATATAAAAAGATATTTAAACATAGTTATATCTCCATCATGTATATATCCTAATAACATAATAAAAGTTCAATAATCATAAGATCATAATACATAAATATTCTTATAAAATATAAATAAATAAAACATTTTTTTTGAATTTTATAAAATATAAATAAATAAAACATTTTTTTTGAATTTACATTTATTCTAGAACATTCGTGGCATACATCATTAGTTCTTTAACAATAACAATTAACATAAGCAAAATAAGGCATAAACTCATATTTTCTTTTATTAAAATCCAACTTTTATTTTGAATTATAAAAAGAAAAAAAAAAAAGGAAAACCGATTTTTAACCGATTTTTGACCGATTTTTGCCACCGAGTTTGACCCGCCTTAAAGGTTTGACCGCCTCAGACCGCCTCGGACCGCCTCAGACCGCCTAAAACCGCCTCACAGGCAAAAAACCGATTTTTCAAACCTTTACACTAAAATCGTAAAGGTTTTGGACCGCCTCCGCCTCGGAGACCGATTAATCGGCCGCCTCGGCCGATTTTTAGAACACTGGTCTTGTTATCTTCTCCGTTCTAACATAATTTTAAATATTGTGTATACATGTCAGTGTTCTAAGAATCGGCCGATTAATCGGTCTCCGAGGCTAAGGCGGTCCTAAACTTTTACAATTTTGGTGTAAAGATTTGACAAATTGATTTTTGGCCTGTGAGGCGGCTTTATGCCATCCGAGGCGGGTTGAGGACATATGTGGCGGTCAAACCTTGGAGGCAGGTCAAACTTTGGTGGCAAAATCGATCAAAAATCGGTTTTTCTCTTTTTTTTTTCTTTTTTCTTTTTTTACTTTTTATTTCAAAATAAAAGTTGAGCTTTTAATTAAAAAAAATGAGTTTATGGTTTAGTGTGTTTATGTTGATTGTTATTGTTAAGAACCAAATAATAGATGCTTACAATGTTTAAGAATAAAATTTATATTCAAAAGATTTGCATTTTATTTGTATTTTAAAAAGATTTTATTGAATTACGACCTTATTCAGTAAATATTTATTATATTATTAGGATATATAAATGATGGGATATAAGCATGTTTAAATATCTTTTATATATATGTATTTAATATTTACAAATAATATCTAGTAATATATGATATTAAATTTTAAAAATTGATTCACCATAAATCTTGAGGCAACCCGATTTCCACTTTTTACAACTTTGATACATATGCATAATGCATATCTAATTCAACTATTCATTCATAAATACCAAACTAAATAAAATTTTCATTCTTAGAAATATAATGTGAATAAAATAGTTTTTTTTCACATAATTTATTGAATAACAAGCTGCATTCTTTTTATTTAATTTTTCAAATTCTACATTTCGATGGATTCAAATCCAACAAGTTCCTAACCAAAATGCTCAAACTAGCTTAGGCCCATTAGACCCAATTGAGACCCCCAATAGAGAAATCTCCTATTTAATTAAGTTATAACGCTAATAAGTATGATACATTATCTTAAAATTATTGAAGAAAATACTAAAGTAACGGTTACTATTTCATTCAGTACAGATATTACATTCTCAATACTATGGTACCATGCCTACTATTATATACTGTATTTAATTTTTTCTTTTATTTTCTATAACATAGTATTTAATATTTATAACTTTATTCCAAAAATAACATTTCTAATACTCTTTCGTTTCTAAATAAGTGTTTCTTTTCACTTTTCACAAAGATTAAGAAATTCAATAAATGTAGTTTGATTTTAGGAAAACAAAAATGACTAAAACAACCTTTAAAATTAATGAATTATAAGGGAGAATTAATGTTTAGAGATGTATTAATAAGGTTAAAACAGGAAAAATGCATTTAATGCAGTATTGGAAATCTAAAGTGACAGATAATATGGAACAAAAATATTTTTAAAAAAAGACGTTATTGTGAAAGAGATGGAGTACTTTTATGTAATATTATTCCGAATAATGTGTCTTAACCTTTTTTTTTTTTAAATATTAAAGTATTTTTTTAATATGATTGCAATAATGTTGACTATTGCTACATATTTTGAGAATATTATTAAATAAATTACAATCTAATTTCAAATCACACGAATCTACACAACACGATTACATAAATAAGCAATTTTATTACATACATCACAGTAATCATATTTCCAATAAATATAAAAAAAAAAAAATACAATGAGTCAGTGACGTCAGCACAAGTAAATACAAAGAGTGCGTTACCAACTTTTGTCCCGACTCACCGCAGAACCGGAGCCCCGGTTACGAAATTGAGTGTCACCGAACCAACCGCCCGCCACGTGTCCATGCTGGTGACAACCGGCGCTGACATGTAAAAGGTGGGCCCACTTACCGGCACCAGCCGGTCAACCCCCCCACCACTGCTCCTATTTTCCCTTCCCGCGAACCCCTATATATATAATGAGAAGGAAACCAAAGAGACAGTCGTTCCTTATTCCGAGCTGCTAAAACACACACACACACAGTGGTGCCGACGTGGCAAAAGCAAAATTCCGGAGGTGGAATATTCCGACGGTATATTCGTGCTGCATTTGTAATTTTAACTCTGTGAGAATTCTGATTTTGCTGATGTTTTTTTTAATTAATTAATTTATTTATTTTTTCGGGTTGCTGCTTTACTTTGTGCAATGGAAGCAAAAACGAAGAAGGCGAAAATAATTTGGGGTTTAAAAAAAATTAATTTAATTTTGAGAAAATTGGTGAAATTGCTCAGTTGTTTATGCGTTCATTTGTAAAATTGTTGGGCAGGATAGGATTAATTTAATCTAATTTAATTTTTTTTAATTAATTTGAATTTTTCAAGGCAAATCTCTCTCTCTCTCTCTCTCTCTCTCTCTCTCTCTCTCTCTCTCTCTCTCTCTCTCTCTCTGTTGATTCAGTAGAGTGTATGTATGATGTGTATCCGGGGTTGCATGTGTGGTAACTACAGTGAGAAAGAATCAGACCTTCTCTTAACCTTATTTGAGATTTTTGGATTAATTTTCTACTTTATTAAGAGATGAATTTTGTGATTTGTCGATTAAATCGAGTTATTTCAAGCATTAATCGCAGATCTCGTTTATGTATATCGATTGCCGTAATATAAGCTGCAAATGCTGACGATTATCTCTAATTTCCACCACCTTTTTTCGCAATTATTTTGTTATTGAGCGGCATCACATTAATTTATAGTCACCCTTAGCATCGTAAATTCATAAATAACCGGTTTATGTTCGCTTCGTATATATTTTCAGATTTTTTTTGATGAATTAGTTTCCGATTTTGTCAAAATGGCTTTGGAGGCATTTCTGGATTCCGATGGGGCTGGAGGAATTCTGGAGGCTCTAATCTCTCAAACCTCGATGCGAACCGAAGAACGTTCGTCTTCTTTTCTCAACACTGCGCAATCGAATCCAAATTTCGCTTCTGATTTTACGAATTTTTCAACTTCGAGTGGTGCTCGTTCGAAGAGTTTTGTGAATACTAATCATATGGATTCGATGCCGTTCTCGAGCAAAAATCCAGGTGGACAAACGGAGAGAAAGAAGCAGCTCAAGAAAAATACGAGAAGCTGTACGGATTTACACAAGATGACAAACGTACAAATTTGCCGAGATTCGCTTCGTGTTGCCCCAACTGCGAAGAAAACGAGGCTCGATGTCAACCAGGAGGAAGAAATTATGAAGGAATTATATTTGAAGGAGCTGCAAAGTCGAAACCCGCAACTAACTGCAATGATCAATCAGTGTAGACAGCAAAATCTAAACCCGGTTTTAAATTCGGCTCAGCATTTGAGGGGGTCCCACTTTCAGCAGCAGCTACAGAATCAGCATACGAGGAATATTCTAGAAGAACAGGGCAATATCCAACGAGTGGCTTTTGCTCCTTTGCTTGACGGTGCTATTTGTTCGAGACGATTGAAGCAGTATCTCTATCATTTGAGGAACAATATACGCGTTAGTTATTTTTTCCTCTTTCGCCTTAACAATTTGCAATTGCCTTTTCATGTATGTTTAGGAAGTTTTTAACATCTGCTTCGGGTTTTTTTTTTTTTTTCGTTTCTCTCTTCCTAAGGCATCGTTTGGTTTGTCAGATTAGCCATGATTGATTAAATAATTCGATTTTGCCGAATGTTTCGTTAGTCCAATAATATAATTGGGTTTTTCACAAGATTATCTCGGGGTTTTTTCACAAGATTATCTCGGATAATCTTATCTTAGAAACCAAACGAGTTTAAAAAATACCTTCGGTTTTCCTACAGGACAACAACATTGCCTATTGGAAGAAATTCGTGTCGGAATATTACGCATCGGGTGCAAAGAAAAGGTGGTGTTTCTCTAAATACGAAAACATCGAGCTGCATACAAGCGGCGTTTTCTGCCCTGTATCTACGGTTAGTCTCGATGAAACTTTGCAGTTTCTTTTTTTTTTTTTTTTTTTTTTTAACTTTTACGGTTTTCATCTAATTTTGAATGTTTGTTGGATTAGTCCCATCTTTATTTCGTTAACGTAAATATTTTCAATTCTTGTCTAAAGAGAGCCGTTATTTATTTTCAGGAGACGTGGTATTGCGACATATGTTGTTCTAAATCAGGGAAGGGACTCGGTAAGCAGAAATTCACGCAATTTTTTTTTAAACAAATTAAAATGTAACAAATATTCTCGTGATTTGGTAGAGGCGACATCCGACATATTTCCTAAGCTGTTCAAGATAAAGTTTGAGAGTGGCATGCTCGACGAGATTCTATTTCTTGATTCACCTCGAGCGTGTAAAATTCCATGCGGGCTGGTTCTTGAATACGGGAAAGCAACTCAAGAGAGCGTCTACGAAAATTTCCGAGTAGTGCATGTGGGAACACTTCGCGTTGTCTTCAGATATGACTTGAAGGTATTTTATTTAATTTTTTCGTGTTTCGAAAAACCGATTAGTTGTATCATGTTATCAGTTATTTATGTAATTAAGTTTGTACGATTTTTTGATAGTTCGTTTCTTGAAATCTACACAGATATTGTCCTGGGAATTTTGTGCGCAAAATCACGAGGAGTTTCTGCTTCGTAGATCGATTACTCCTCAGGTACCTAGTTCTTTCTGCTGTAATTTCATTTATTTATTTATTAATTTATAGTTTGTGTAGTTAAATAATTAGTTGGTTTCAGTTATTAGCTTGTCTACCGGTAGGAGTATTTGGACTATATCTTGTAGCTTAAATTCTGTTTGAAGCCACACAAAACTGCAATTTTTTGTTTTTTTTGTTTTTTTTTTTTTTTTTAAGAATTGACGATTTATTTATTTATATATATATATATATATATATATATATATATATATATATATATATATATATATATTTTTTTTTTTAATTTTGGCTGTTGCAGGTTAATCAATTGGTTCATGTAGCTGAGAAATTTCAACATGACATCCTTAACGGGACATCTTGTAGGGTCTCGTCGGAGCAGGATTTTCAACCAATTTGGGATATGTAAGTGCTTTATTATTATTTTTTGGGAAAATTACGGCCACCCCTGAGTTATGGTCAAATTACAAAAAAAACCCTTTTGTTTGGGTAATTACAACCACCCTCAATTATTACGAAAATACCCCTCCAGAGGTAAATTTAGGGATGTTAAATCGGTAAAACCGAACTGAAATATCGTACGCCAACACTTCATACCTTTTACCTGAATAAACAATTTGGTACGGTAAATAACCGAATTACATAAATTTTATGTAAAAATATTTAAAATGAGGGGTGGCTGTAATTACCCTAACAAGAGGGTTTTTTTTCGTAATTTGGCCATACCTCAGGGGGTGGCTGTAATTTGCCCTTATTTGTTTTTATCTAGCTCCCTTTTATTCCCTGCATTATTATTTCCTTTTGAGGATCATGTGCTTAAAAAAGTCGAAAGTCGACTAAAAGAAATATAAAGTGAAGCATGCGAATTTTTGTTGAGATTAAGATAATGTTTGGTGTCTTTGGTAAATTTCTATTCGGACAGGTTTGTATCGGCAGGTAATCAACTTGCGAGAAATATGGAATTACCTTTGGTGAATGACTTGGGATATCCCAAACGATTTATTAGGTGCTTGCAGGTATATAAATGCTCGAAGAATATATACTAGGCAACCGAGATTATTCTCTTTTTTTTTACACTCCACTTTTACGGTTTAATATTTTCTATTACATCATCTGCAGATAGCAGAAGTTGTCGATAGCATGACGGATCTCATGGCACTCAGCCGTGGCACAAAAATGGGACCAATTGGTACGCATTAATAATTAATGTATATTAGAAGGGTTTATTGCATTTAGCAACCCCGTGTTTACTCTAATTGTTCAAAACTCCGTGTTTGAAATATTAGCGAAAACCCCCCTATGATGCTATTTTTTTTCCCGCAAACTACCCCCCCTAAAAACCCACCGTTTAGGGGTCGGGTGCTAAAAAAATGCATCATAAGGGGGTTTTTGCTAATATTTATTACACGAGGAGTTTTTTAGCAATTCGATGTGTTGGGGTACTAAATACAATAAAGTCTAAATTTATTTTAATGACAACAATATAAGAGTTCATATTTACATTTTATTTTCCTTCTCAAATTACTTTACCTAGAATTTTACCCTCACTGTTTGATCATTAAATTGCTAGATTGCTTGAACAAATACTCTCAAGGCAACAAGATTCGTAACCACGCGAAGGAAAATCAAGAAACGGAACTATTTGCTCACAGTCAACAAACATTTCCGTTAAAATCTGGCCCGGGAAACTCGTCTTCAAATTCCATCAACCCTAACCACCAACTTCTTGGGCAAACTTACTCTTCTTCACCAGCATCCGTGAGTCCAAACGGGCCGCCCATTTCCTCGACGGGTCATCTAAACGGGCCCATCAATTTCGCGCAATACTTAAACTCCAAATCTTCCATTACGCATGCCGAAAATCCTAATCAAGCTTTGGTCGATAAGTTGCTCAACGAAATGGTGAATAATGGGCTGCATTACGGCGAAAGTTCAAATGCTAGTTCAAGAAATATTAGTGCGAAAGCGGAGCCGTATTCGCCGGAGCAAGCGCCGGAAGTTTTCCAAAATTCAGGAGGAGGCTTCTCCAGTCATCAGGATTTGTGCTGGTAAATATACTCAGACGACAACCATAAACGGTAAAGCTTTTTGATGGTAAAGATTTTACTTCACAAAATGTTAAAAGAACAATATTTAAATAACGTTTTATCGAGCGTTTTATGCATATTTTATCATCCTTTATTAGTGTAATCATTTACATATCCGATACTTTTTTACTGTCGTCGAAAATTCTCACAAAGTCCAAAAACGTTCGCAACGATATTTGAAATATCGTTATTTTATTTTTTAATAGATAATATGTTTGTGAAAAGAGTATGTAATAACAATAATGTATTACTTAAAATAGTATGAAGGTGTAACGGTACGTCTACTTTGGATCAAATTTCATAGTCTTTGGATCGAAGAAGTTCTCACTAGATCAAGAAAACTAACCGAAAAGATAAAACTCGAAGCTAACCCTTTGACCTTTGTAGATAGGAATATTCTAGAAACACGGAGAAAGCTGTGACCAAGTTGTAGAGAGTCCTAAAACTTCCTAAATCATCTCTACTGGCTTTGACCTTCTAAAATATAAGTACAACATTCATGAAGTTACTCCCAACCATATGATTAAATTAATTCCCACTATACATTAGAAAGGTTCATTAGTATAAATATGAGTATCATTTCGTTTGTAAACCTACTAAACAAACTCGTTAGCCATGTTCTCAAGCACTAAAATTATTTTAGTCTTACAATTTTATTGTTAAAATTTAAACATGTTGTTGATTGTTTATATACCAAAAAATAATGACATAGATTACGGCTAATACGAAATTTTGAGCCCAAATTAGCGTTTTGAGACACTATCTCTATTTCCTCTGCCAAGTTTTCATTTTCTTTTATGTTTTCCTTTTCTTTTTTCTTGAAAGAAAGATGCGGCTCTCGGATATTATCCAAGAACTCTAATTTTTTATTAATTCCGACAGAGTTAATCCAAACTATTCTGCATCGCTATGAATGTGAATGAGATAATTTCAATTAATATCACGGCTAGTACTACGCATTGTGGATGTTCAGATCTTAAAGTTGAGTGACAAAAAGTTTGTTAAGCATATTGTGTAATGAACTAATAGCTACTTCTTTGTTCAAAATATTGTGTAATGAACTAACAGGTTCTTTGAGTTTGTTTCTTTTATTTTCTCTTTATTCTTTTCTCTTGAAAGAAAGTCATGGATACTTTTTTTTTTCTTCACATTGTTTCGCGTTGACCGTGTGAGTCGTTTACGTTTCTCTTCCTCTCATCGAATTAGCTGTTGAACGAAAAAAATATCGCATACTATGTCAACGCGAAAAAAAAACATGTACATTAATTGTACGAAAGCAAAATGCAAATACGAATAAGCAACAATAAAATGCAATTTCCAAAAAGCACCAGCTAAATGTAACCTTGGAATGAATTGTTTTTGCAGTTTGTGTTTTACGTTTCTGAAAACAACGGAAAATGAAATTTCCGAAAAGCAACAAGTTGTTTCTAAAAAGCAAACATGTAAATGATTTGCTATGGATAATGTAACGTTCAGATAACAAAATACAAACAAAGACATTTTATTTATTTATTTGTATTTGGTTCAAACTTCAAACATTAAAAACAATAGCAAAATGTTGCATTAGAAACAACAAAATAAATACGATAACAAATAAGAGCAAAATCGAAACAAAAAATCGAGGATAAATATTATATTATACTTGGGGTCTAACGTTAAAATCAAATACCCATAAAATTGCATGAATAGATCACCAAAATAAACATCCAAATGCAAGAGCTCATCTATATATACGAGACCTCCAAACAGTCCTTATGATCGAATGTGTCGTAAATTCTTCATTATTTTTGTTATATATGTGTGTGTGTATATATATATATATATATATATATATATTTCTTCCAATATATTGATTATTTAGAAGTGTATGAAAATAGATTTACCAATCTGTAACTGCCAGGTAAAATCCCTCTGCCAACTTCTACGAAGTCGAATAGATATTGTAAGAAAAAAGAAATCCAGCAATCGGAAGGAATGTCTAATTTTCCTTTTATTTGGGTAGGTATGTGTAATTATTTTTCTTTTTATTCCTTCAAATTGGTCCGTGCATAACAAATTAACAATTAGGTAAATTACACATACCTCCCCAAGGTTAGATCAAATTACACCTAGACCCTCTTGGGTCTGGAAAATTACTTATAGGTCCCTTGAGGCTTGGTTCCAGGCAACAATTAACCCCTATCTGGCTACGGAATATTATAAAAAGTGATGATGTCAACGTAAAAATTTGATTGTAATTCCCTTTTTGCCATTTAACAAATATATGTAAACTTTTATTGTAATTTTTTACCGTTAATGAATTTCGTTTCAAAAAGTTAAGGGTTTTCGTTGTCTTTTTGCTCGAAAAATACAACCTCAAGGCTCAAACCAATCGACCTTGAAATACATGGAAAACAGGTTTATTGCATTTATATATATTTTTTTTTAATTCAAAAGAACAGCCTGGTGATGATAAACTGTTAATTCTTGCATTTGGGTTGGGTTTGAGGATGAAACCGAACTTCAAGGGAGGTATACGAAATTTTTCCAAACCTTAGGGGGTCCATCATCCCAATAAATAGTATTAAGTAATAAATCAATTATTTTTCACAAAGATTAAAATAATAATCAACAAAAATCACATATAACTAAATAAAAAATATTGAATAATAGCATGCATAGCTACATAAAACCAAATACCATGTTAATACAATAAAAGATGGAGAAAAATAAAATTAAAAGAAAATATTTCGATTCACTTTCGATCGTTTAGAAAAACAATGCTCGAAAATGAAGACATACTTGGAGCAAAACGAACGGTGAGGCTGTGTCTAAACTACTAAGAAATGTATAGAAACATAATTCACTTACACCCAACGGAAGAGCCTTTCCAAACCGTATAATATAAGTCAATTTCGCTCGGTCTATATTTAAAATATTCACTTGCAAAATAAATATAAAATAGGTATAAGTTATAAAACCTGCAAATAATAATATGATGCTGCTATATCAACTCCAGATACAATGCTTCTTGTTTACTGGTCAGACCCAATTCGTTCATAGTCGAGCTACTTTCTCCGTCGCTAAAAGCGCGCCTAGGATAAGATCTCACCTATATGTATGATCAAATATATCGTAAGTTTCATTATTTCGCTATATATATATGTATGTATGTAAAGTATTTATTTATTTTTTTCTTCCGAGAGTAGGATGCATATTGATTATTTAGAAGAGTATGTAAATAGATTTACCAATCTGTAACTGCCAGGGGTGATCCCTCTTCCAATATCAATGAAGTCAAATAGATACTGTAAAAAAAATTATAAAATAAAATAAAGTGAAGACATAAAATGGAAACCAAACGTACGGCATAATGGAATATGTTATGTTATATGTCATTCTCAGGTTCTTTTGATAGGGAGGATGCGATTAAATAAGATATGGTTTGACTTGGATATGTTAACAACTGGCTAGTGATTTATTGTCTATATTTATGTTTGATAGCATGTATATCAGAAGTCGTGATAATTTTCTATTACAAAATTGGTCCATGCATAAAAATTAATGTTGCCAAATAGAGGGTTGTATTTTTTCGTTCCATTAGTAATTTAAGAAGCAGAAATTGCTTGATTATGTCGTGGGCCAATAATAAATTGTGGGTCTATGCTGTCAAACATAAAACTAGCCTTGATCAGTAATATATCAATCAAATCAAACAAGGGACTAGTGTATTTTATCTGAGTACTTGAATTAAAAACGCAAAAATACGTCGATCAACGAAAAAATACCTGTAGTTTGTCTGACTTGTGGAATCTCCGACTTCGGCGGGTCCCATCGGGCATACGCACAAGAAGTGTGACAGAATTATCATCATCTGTGTTTGGTTCTTGTGGAAGGGAAGCTTCTTTGGCTGCTAGTTGTCTCTCAATTTCCTGCCCAACCATAAGAAATGTCTATATATATAACAACAAGGATGTATGTATTTTTTACTACCACACTGTTTCTATAATTAAATTGCAATAAACTTCATCCGAGAATGCATGTGCTTCTATAATTAAAATGCAATAAACTTTTCTTTTTTTTCCTTTTCACTACACAGCATTCGCTTAAGGTAGCATTTTTTAACGAATAATAAGTATTAAGTTTTTGCAAAGAATGAGTCAGAAACTAGAAGCGACTCCTGTGTATTAAGTACTCTTATCGGAGAGTTAAGGCCAGATAAACAACGTATTTAGATAACCAACACTTCTCACTGTTAAATTTCTTAAGCATACTCTATGTCTAGAATCAACTCCATGTGATATAAATATTGAAGTCTTAATGACACATAAGGCCAAATAAATTCAAACATAAATTTATTGATAAAACACAAATCAATCAAGTGTGAATATATTTTTCAACACGAGGTACCTGTTGCTCTAGCAGTTTTCTGTGTGATTCCTCCTCCTTGCGTCTCTCTTCAGCAAGAGCAGCTTCAGCATCTTCCTTGGCCTTCAGTTCTTTCTCTCTATCAGCTTGTAGAGCCGCAAGATATTCATCATTCTGCACGAACAAAAAAAAAGACACAGATTATAATCAAAGGGACAGCAGAAAATTTAACCATCACTTAGACTCAAAAAGAAAACCTGTTGTTCTCGTATCAATCTCTGAGCAGTAAGAGAAGGTGATGGAGGACGAGGTATTTGCATGGGATAAGGACCATATAAATCATTATGCACGGGGCGATGAGGTGCGTAAGGAGGAAAACGATATCCAGTTTCTTCGGGGACCCCACCAAACATTGCAGCCTCGAGCATAACAGCTTCGTCGTGTTCCTCGGATGAGATGCCTCCCCACTTTAATAAGTACATAGACATACAAAACCAAATAAGTACAAAAAGGCTTATTTATGAAATAGAGAACTTTATTTGCATTCCGGATATCAAGAAACTGAAGTTATACCTCAGAAGGGAAATCAGTTCCACTGTCACGTGAATGAGTCACAGTATCATTCTGCTGAGGAATTGAAGGTGGGAGGACCTCCGCTCCTCCAATATCGATTAGTGGTGTGTCGGTAGAGGTGGAAGTGACTCGTCTTCTTCTGTGCCTAACCAATTGCAGCTCTTCTTCTTCTTCATCTTCAGTTTCATCTTGGATGGATGAGCTTCCAATCTCCAACTGAGATTGCCTAAAGACAAAAATACTTATTTTAGGCCTCGTTTGGTTGCCAAGATAAGATTAGCCGATATAAGGTTAAATAATCTAATAAAAACCCAATTGTTTTATTCAACCATAGAAGGTCCAATAAAAAAGATCCCTAAAAGGCAAGATAAGCCATGATATCATAATATTTCCTGGTCGAAGCGAAAAGTTATGAAGTTTACCAAACATCAAACAAAGTCCATTTATTTAGTTAATCGTAGCTAATATCCCCAACCAAAAGAGTGCTTACTCCACAGTGAAGAGTACAAGTGCAAATACATTTGGAATACTCGGACATTCCAACAAACTATGTTTTACTGCATTTCAATTTCAGTTGTAATACACCAGAAAACGGTATAATATAATAAAATTACTGGACATTGTTTCGTTTGCCTTCCAGAAACAAAATCTATACGCGAAAAAACAATTGCTGTGGGTGTTCTCTATGATGTTTGCACGGGATCAATTTCCATCTGAAAGTTGCTGGATTTTTCCAAGCTGTCCGACAAGCCTTTAATCTTTGTTAGAAATCGGTACTCATACTTTTTAAAATTGCGTCAAGTTCTTACTCTTGTCCTTTTCTTCTACTGATGATGATTCATCAATTGCAAACAAGTGAAAGAAGTTCATTTATTCCTCCATATCTTCATTCTGATTTAGAGGATTTACTTCGTTTTGTTCTAGAGACGAGATTGACATCCCATCGTCACTACTGGATGTCTTTTTCATAATTTCTTTCAAGAATTTCTTGAATTTATTCTACTGAAAAAACATCACCACCTACTGTCCTCAATCAATATGAGCTACATCCATATTCTGCAACTACTACTCGTTCCTTCTAATCATACAAACTATAGTTTTTCAACCATGTTTAAATTAGGTTTTTCCATTCTAGTTATAGATGATCAGAAAATATAATTAAGAACATATCAGTAGTTACGCATCATCCCGCTTGCAAGTTAGTGTTTTGCACAATGATGTGTCAAATTGCTTGCATACGTAAATTTATTAAAACAAAATGCTTGTTTTTTCACCACATCTGTGTCTAAAGAATAAGGTAATTACGTGGTCCAGATAGTAAGTCTGTTAATGTATTAATGGAAGAATGAGTGAAGTATTAAAAACTCAGGCAGTTACCTTCCATGTAATAACTCTGGCAAAGCTGACTTCTGAGCCTCTAATTCCGAAGCACCAACGTTGTCAATATCCTGTATCAGAAATAAAGTTATCAATAAAAACTAACCATAATGAAGAACGAAGTTACCAACTCCTTTACTGTAAACAATTTTCATACATGATCGTCATATTGTTGATTCGACACTGCAGCATCCTTCTTCGAAGCCTCAATGGCTGCTCGAATCATTTCTTCTTCTATATCGTTGTTATAGTCAGGCACGTCAATGATTGTGGGAGCACTTGGCCCATGTCGAACAGTAATCGGTACATCTGGATAATTTTTTTCTTCGTCACTATCATCGTCTATTATGTAAGTGGCACGTGCAGTTTCAGTCGTGGCTTCAACGGCTGAAGCATTGCCAGGACGAACAGATGATCCTGTACCGTCTTTAACTTCAACTGGGATCTCAACAAAAGGCGGTCGACTATTGGACGCACTTCTAGTGAAGTTTGGATCGATAAGAGAGAAAGGATCCAAATCTCTAGCAAAGTGTGGTAAGGAAGAAGGTTGTCTGTGGGACCCGCCTGGTACTGAATCATCAATATCCATAACATCGTTCTGAGGAGCAGTAAAAGCAGCTTCCTGAGCTCTGACACGGAGAAAGAAAACAAAAAAAAAGGTCATATAAAATGCTGAGTTACTAATAATTGCACCAAATAAGGAATTATGTTTTATAAGCGAGAAATTACTAACGTGTTTTCACTGAAATGTGCATTTACAGCTTCGTTGAGGCTGCCATGGTGATCCTGCTCAACAAAATATACTATCGAGTCAAAAAGCGAATGACGAAATTAAGCTCGGTAATAACAAAAGTATTACGGAACAACACCTTTCGTCGTAGAGAAATAAATCAGCGAGAAAAGTTTGCAATTTGTTCCCTTGATGCAATCAATAAAACAGAACTTTCCATACCAACAATCATTAAAATAGCCAAATACAGATTTCACTTATTTGGAAGGCGAAAAGACACAAAAAAGAATGCCGTACACTACACTTAATTACAACCGGCAATACAGAAATTCATAACTGACTCATCGAATCCATCAAACTTGATTTTATTTACAAAAATAAGCAAAATCAATTTTATTCAGTTCAAGCCGAGACACAGAAATTAACAAATCTTAGTTGATGAACTATTGAACTCCAATGTCGATTTATCAACCATTAACGAACCCCCGCAAAGCTAGCAAAAACCTAATAAACCCTAAATTTTAGAACTAAATATTCAGAATTCACTCAATTCCATAGCTATAATAATAACAATAATTCCTCACAGGCTGAACTCATACTACAGTCAATCAAAGCAACAAAGCGATTACAGATTGCAACTCAACTCCCCCAAAATATTAACAAATTCTAACAAAATCGGAAAACTTATCAATGAAGTAAAACACAAGCATTTATACCAATTTAAAAAAAAAATTATAAAAAAAAATTAAAACCCTACCTCCAATTTTTGAATAGCGGCGGCTTCAGAAACGCCGGTGATGCTCATAAAAGTATCGATAGCTTCCTGATCAGGTCTCGCCATTTTTTCCCAATTGTTAAGAATTTAATTTTTCCTGTAATCGAAGACGGAATTTTTTATTCTTAAATAAGTTGCGTTTTTGTGTAGAAGAGATGGAAGAGAAGTGGTGCAACTGTGTAAGTATATATAAGGATGAGGACTAATCTGCCATTTTTTTAGTTAGGATGGGTGTTTCGGTAAATAAAGAGAGTTGGATGAGCTTTCTGGAATTTCATGCCTCTTTCTTCCTTTATGGGCTTTAGAATATTGGATATCTTGGACCATAAGTAAAGATTATATCTATTTTTTTGGGGAAAAAAAGAAGAATATATATATATATAAATTTGTCTTTTTAATGTTTTAAAATTGGACCAAACATTGACCCGAACAAATTATTGGTTCGTGGTTGGACTTGTTCAACCGGGTTTTTTTATGTTGCATTTCATAATTATTTATATTTAATATTTACAGTAAATAAAACATAATTTATTTTAAACACTTGACTCGTTATTCTTCTCTAATTGAGACGTAAATCAAGCAATACGTTTCTTTTGCAGACACAACATATCAACAGTTCAACAATGGCACATCAAATCACTTCAAATATAATAGATGCATATTGTTCGGGTAATTTGAATTTGTTAAGAGTCATTCGGGCAGCTTAGTCGTAAATCTTAGACTGGAAAATAGAGAACTTAGGCAGAGAGTTTTAGACTGAAAATAGACAGTCTAGACTGAAAATTGTCACCTTAGTTGGAGAATTTGGATTGAAAATAGACGTCTTAGACTGAAAAAGGGATCGAGACCGATGAAAATAGCATTTACATTGACGTGTTTGACAGAAATTAGGCGTTGGGCGACAGAAACCGGAAAAGAGAGGTGAAATGTTGTTTTGAAGATAATGAAGGAGAATAAATCATTTTCAGTCTAAAAGATCTATTTTCAGTTTCTCCTCGAGGGACTATTAACAAAATATGAAAATACGAATGTCCTAGTACGAAATAAAATTAGACTTGAAATGTGTTGAGCAAATTACCCCTAGGTTTATTAATCTATTTTAGTGTCTTTTAGTTGTAGAAAAATGAGGGTTTGATACATCTTAATTAGCATTTTCAAAACAACAAAATTATATGATTTTTAGGGGTGAAGTTGCCTTCTTTATATTAAAAGGCGCACTTGTCGTTTCTGCTATACATTGTGTTCAACGAAAATCCGAATAAATAAAATAAATAAATAAACTACGAGAAAATGTCGAAAGGGGTTCTTTAATCCTTGAATAAATATGCCTGGAGAAAATAAATATGGGTAAACAGGTGTGTGGTTCGAAGTAAATCAGCATATTATCAACAAGATATTGTTCCGACGAAATATAATCCTAAATTAAATAGCTTAGACGACAAGGACAAAAATCAAAACTACAACGGCAACTGCTGAGACAATGTCGGCCTTTTCTCAACCATTTCATATTGCAGGACAAAGTTATCCTGCGTTTCAACAGATAATGAAATAAGACACGGATTAAAAATAAATAAATATTATAAAAATAAAAAATCGTGTTTTAAACCTTTCTTGATGCATGCCAGGTATTGGGATCGAAACAGATGTAGGAACCTCTCTCGTAACTGTTTGTCTTTACGAGAGGTTCCACGTTCGCCACCCTTGTGAACCATAACCGGTGCTCTCTGTGGTAGAACCATCCTCTGTTGTAACTGTAAACAATACGCAAACTCTTTTCATTCTTGATTATCTCAATATACATATAATAATTTTGTAACTAGTGAATAATACACATGTATGTATATACAAGACAATCCTCAGTTATATGCATGCATATTCCCATTGGAAAAGCATCACGTGTTAGTACAAGAACATGCGTTGAAACTAAAACCCTATATTCATACGCTTATTTTGCAGAAAGTAAAGAATGCAGCAGAAAAGGACTTACAGTTCATTTGCTGCAAAGATTTGCGCCTCGTCTTTTGGCATGCTAAATTATAGGAATTAAAAATCACACGAGTTAGTGCCATCAAGACTGCATGTTGAATTATCGGAGAGCCTGAAAGACTTACCTGTAAAAGACATATAACAATGTTTCCGGCCGGAATCTCGCAAAGGTACCTTGCTGCAATAAAGGGGATTTACCAATTACGTGAGGAGGGAGCATGGTCAAAAATGGAACCCTTTGGAAACCAAATCATAAAAATTAAATTAAAAAAAAAAAGAAAGAACATAGGAAAACTCACATTCAGTGGAGGACGTTGTTTGTCATAATAACATTCAGGAACAACGTACTCTGGCTCTCCTCTCACGGGTTCATCTGACCAAGGAGATGCGAACTTCTTGTGAAGAGTATCGGATGAGTTTAAGTTCAGACCAAGAGTTGTCAGATCAATCCCCAAAGCAAGAGAGGTCAAAGCTGGGTTGACCATTTTTATGATGCTTAATAAACCGAGCATCCCGTATTGGTCAGGTACAGTTTGGGATCCCTGCGTGGATTTCATGTCTTTATCTCTAAAGGGGTGATTGATGAAACGAGATTGCGACTGTTGGAATTGCTGATATTGCTGCTTATATTACGTGTATCAAATTAATAATTATAAAATTTAAGAAATAACAAAATCTACAATCAAAACAATTTAAAAAAATATTTGTATGCGTCGTACATCAGGACCGTGAAAATGAAGATCTTGATTGCCGGATGTTAGATAGGAAACTCCTGTGCCATTTATTGACGAAGCGCGATGTTGCTGAGGATGATGTGACGAATATGAGCCACCAAAATTGAATCCAGAAGACCTTCCCATCTAAAAAACAAATAAAATTTAATCACTACGAAAAAAATACAAAAAGTTCCAAGTGTTTTAACTTTTAAGTGCAGTAACTTACGGATAATTGCTGGGACTGTATTAAATTTGCCATACTGTCATGGATCTGTTCTTTTTGGTGGGTATTTATGGTATATTCCGCATTGCCCCCGACATTAAGACCACCTGCTGCACAAAAACAGAAATGATATCAAAAAATTGAAATTGTCCTTCAATTTTTTTATCCAACGTAGTAATTACCACTATCGGTGATCATACCATTCAGATAATAAAATGCAGAGATTTGAAAAGCCAAAACTACCTCAAAAAAGTTTTCCGAAAAAAATTTTGAAAAGCCAAATACTCCAACTTAAATTTCAAGCATATATTTTCCTATTTAATGTTCTCATTACATTCTGAAGACTAATTAGTTTACCCTTTTCTCAAGTATACATCCTACATCCGTTCTTGTGCAGATTAATTATTAAGAAATGGCTTCCTTGATACATGAAAAATACAGAAATTTAAGAACCTTTATATCCTGGCAAAGCAGGAAAATCTTCATTCTGAATGCTGAATTCTTGGTTCTGTTGGGCGAAACCGATGTTATGCTTTTGCATTAAACCTTCATTGCATGAAAGATCAAAGATACGTTATTCTGATTTAATAACGTGAAAGCAATTTAATTTGGTGTTCAATATTTCAATTAAGTTCAGTTACCTATTTGACCATGAGAACCACCGGCAGAAGGAGGACGGCCAGATAGCTGAGGAAAGTCATTTACATCAAAACCACCATTATCGTGGGCATTTGAATCATTTAATAATGCCATAAAACTAAAATTATTATTCCCAGCTTGATATTGGTTTTGTGAGAGTGGCACACCAGAACCAGAATAAGAATTGCCTAGCATGGAGACCACCTGTGGAGCTGAAGAAACTAGGTGTCACTCAAAAAGTAATAAAAGTCAAGAGGCGGAGTTCATGCAGACAAGTTTGAACATTTAATTGACGCTTGGTTCCAATTTCATGAGTTCAAAACAAACTTGTCTCGAGCATGAAACAGGGAAAACTATTCATACATGGTTAGGTCAATACTTAACATCTAATAACAGCATGCGAACAAAAGCTGCCACATTTACCCAAGCACACATAAGATTACACCTCTCAAATGAAATTTTTGAAAAGCTTAAACGAGCACATGAATCATCCAGTAAGATGGTTCACTTTCAGGACACAACTGCATCACATTTTGTACTTTTCCCTTCTTATTTTATGTTATCATCGATTGTAATTGCATGTCACTGCTGTAAAATCTTGCATCCAGCAACTTTGTCATACATTTGGGAAACCAAAATAAGAAAGAAAGGTAATTATTTACCAGTCAAGTTCAAGCGAGAAGCAAGGCCAGGAATATTGCCCACCCCACTAGAGTTAGCACCCCTTGAAGCGTTGCCTCCACCCACAAGACCACCAATAGAATTTGTAATTCGGCCTGTATTTCCCATATTGGGAAGAACACCTGGGCCTGAAAGAAAGCAATTGTAGAAATTAGAGGCAAAAAGACTCTAAAATTGAGCACCGTGTATGTGAACTAAATTAACAGACATCAAAAACTAATACCCCCAGTATTTGTAACACCTGAATGCCCATGTGAACTTCCAAGAGATAGCTGCATCAGAGGGTCAGTATCAGTTAAAGGTGGTCTCCACGAAAAGTCGAGAGTGGAACATTGCACCATTACGCATATACGATTCTTTATTGTGCACATATACGAAAATGTTCAAGAGAATTTTCTCGTTGTACATCTACATAAATATATACCTGAGAAAGTGCATTTGGAAGACTATTTATTGCGTATCTCCCATTTGACACGCTCCCTGGAGCTTGCTGGACAGTGTTTGGAATACCACTAAGATTCGCTGAATTTCTTGATGCATATGGTGCAGGCATGTTTGACATGTTGAAGCTACCATGGATGTTATGAAGTCCTTGAAGATTTCCTGTCAATATGAACACCACCTTACTTAAAGTGCATACCAAAAGCTTGTTTTATACTCTTAATCAAGTAAATCTTAAATTAAGAACAACATAAAGTGTGTACCACCAGACTGATTTAAAACAGCGCCGGAGGAACCAGACTGGGCAGAAAAGGAAGTTGCGAAAGCTCTTCCAGTGTTATCTGGAAGGCTTGAATTTGATCCATTCAATCCTGACTGCATATCCACATTTTCAATGTAAATTTAGTGATGATATAGTTCGAAAGAACACAATACATATATCCATATTTTTTTCAGCTATTTGCAATTGACTTGCATACTAAGTAATCTTACGTAAAGCAAATGAGGATTCAAAAAGGTTATTTTTTTCTTATTTTTCGAGGTGTTTAAATTTGACAAGTCACGCAAACAATAATCAAGGGTACAGGGAAGAAGCAAAGACTGACTTACACTGAGTATCCCTGACATTTTGATTCCTCAAAACAGAAGGCAAAGGGTCATTCCCCTCCAAAGATGACCTCCGATAAACTATAACTTTACGTTAACCTGGTGAAGATAGGAACAGAAATAATTAGAGGCCCCAAAGGGGAATAGTTAGACCGCTAAATAATGATTTCAGATTTTATAACTTCATCGGAAAATCAATAACATGTGTGTGACTTTCAAAGTTTGTTTAACTCAAAAACTTGAACTAGTGCCAAAAGTAGGTTCTTCATAGGAATTAGTACTTTTCTCGAACCTCAACTGTATGAACTATAAAACAATATCAATGAAACCTCATTGGCAAATTTGCTAAGAGAAAATAAACAACGAAGGACAACTTAGGACCACATGGTCAAAACAAGTAACATGCCCAAACCACCTATGCAACTAAGTCGACTTCCTGCATTGCTTGTTCCACGTGTAGGGAAATAAAACCCCAGTTATATATATATTTGTCAACCATAGGTTGACCTTTGGAATCCATACACCTTGTCATCTTAAGTTAATGCAGTCCAAGTAAATCGCTATAATTTACTCAACTGTTTCCTCTCGGCTTGTACCCGCAATAATTACAAATTTCTCTCCATCTGACGGAATATCACCAAAAGGGGCAAAAAGGAGCAGATAATGATCAAAAGATTACCAAATAAGAAGATATTTAAAAATCACCTTCCTGATCTTGTTTTATCACATATATGAATTGATATACTCTAACACCTATCATATTAATGAATCGCATTCATCAGTTATGCTACAGACAAGGGTTTGATCGGGGTTTTGCTACCTTCACATAGTCAATAAACTACAACCACAGTCCACAATCTTAACAGAACGCGGCAACTATAATTAACTTATCTTGGAAAGCACGGATTTTTTTAAACAAAATTAACATTTGGGTTAGAGAACGAGGTTTTTGGAGCAAATCTTGACCTTTATTCCAAATTCTCCAAAATTTGGAAAACAAATGCCTATTTATTGTAGATCAAATATCAGTTCTTCAATTCAGAGTGATTCATTCTTTTATCCAAAACCACTGACCAATCCACAAACAGTTTCTTCAATTCACCCAATCGAATCCGAGTAGTCCAAATCATTTTCTCCCATCAATCAGTGGCGAGGGTGAATTTACGAAATCATATATGTAAACTAAAATTCACTAAACCTCCAATCACAAGGCATGCAGTTGCTAAATTGAAATCCACAAATCCAAACAGAACAAAAACCCCATAAAATTAAATCGACACTCGGTCAGACAAATACAATCAAATGCATGCATGTCCACATCTGGAGTCACAAAACCCTAAAACGCACAAATTCCATCACGAACCACCAAATTCGATTGGCCAGTAACCGAAAAGGGAAAAAATTAATAAATGAAATGCAATCGGACAAATCAGAAAAATTGGGGAAAAAATGAAATACCAGTATCAATGTAGGTGAAATTGAATATCGATGAGTTCACTTCGATTGATGAATTGAGAAAAATCTTGTCTTGTAGAGTGAGAGAGAGAGGAGAGAGAGATACGAGGCGCTCCGAGGGGGCGTGGTGTATGTGATAGTAACCTGCTGGAGTTGATGTGAGAGAGTCGATTTATATAGGTGTCCGCCTCCGAATTTTAGCCTGTGCGCGTTGTACTATATAACTCCCCCTCTCTCCCAAAATGATGACTCAATAGGCAACTCTTTCTTATCAATTAAAAATAAATAAAAATCTTTTTTTTTTCTTTCTCAAAAAACAAAATGCGTTTCTCCTTGTTATATTTGTTTTCTTGGAGAATTTTGCTAAAAGTCCTTGATTTCATTGGCAATAATGATTGTGGATTTTGTTTCCGATAAAAGTCTATCGTTCGTCTGATTTACAAAATACCTGTACGTTTTTATCGATTAAAACTCTGTGGGAACAATGTCGGCGCGTTGTGCGAACAGTGCAACGCGCACCGTAGACTGTATGTTTCCTTTCAGAGTTCACCTTCAAGGTTTAGAAGTTTTTTGCTTATTTCAGCATTTTTTTAGAAAAATCACTCTCGTATCTTAAAAAATTTGCTTTCAATTTTTAGAAGTTCATTCTCACTTTTCTTAAGTTTGTTGTCAATGTTCGAAAACTTGCTGTCATTCACATTTGTTATCAATTGGGTGAAGTTTTTACCACCGACGAGGTTAAGTTTATGCAATTAATTATATTTAGGTAATGTTCAATGTTATTTAGGTAAAGTTTTTATTGTCATTTAGCAAAACAGTTCATCTTCAATTAAATTCACAAAAATCTACAAATCAGATACACTGACAAATTTTCATCAACGTCTTCCACGTATATAAACCACGACAAAACCTAGTAAAAAACTTTACATAAATGAAGGGCATGCAGAAAAAAATGGAAAGTATAAACGATTTATAAAGCATATAACTATACGACGTTGGTACAAAAAGAAAAATTGTGTGACATATAAAAACACCAAAAAATAATAAAATCTATTTTAATGGACTTGAATTAGAGAGTGTTTGACTAAATTTATAAGTTGTCAAAATAAACTTATAATCTGTTTAGTAGCTTATAAGCTCTTTCAAAATGTTTGCTATTTTAAACAAAAATCTTAAAAGATCAAAAAATAAGCTAAGATATTTAAAAAAAATTACATCTACGATCTACCCCACATTTGTAAATTAAATCTTATAATGAGTAAAAATAACTTATAAGTAGGACCGGCAATTGAGCCGGGCCTACCCGAAGCCCGATAGCTCGGCCCGATTTTATTTGAGCCGAGCCCTATTAATGGTGAGCCGGGCCGAGTTTGAGCCGTTTTATTAAACCCGATTAAACTATGAGCCGAGTCTGAGCTTACCATGGCTCGACCCGAATAAAGCCCGACTATATATATATATATATTTGTTGTCCTTTTTTTATTTCAGGTCTCAAGATTTTTGAAAAGAGTTAGAGGACATTTAGAATTGCTTCTAGTTATTTTATTTTATGATTTTTTTTTTCATTTTGGACTCGGATGCATTTTTTAGTATAATTAATTAAGGATTAAATATTTGCAACATTAGCTTTATTTGTTTTAATGAACAGACTATGATTTTTTTTAATTTATTTATTAATTTTTTAAGCTTATTTTGATTTTCAATGAATAGTCTAGATTTTTCGCTTAGACTACAAAGTTTTTTTTTTTTGTTTTTCTTTAACATGTCGACTGCAAAGTTGTAAAATATGTAATTTGTTTATTGCTCGATATAAGCCCGATATAAACCCGAAGCCCGAAAAAATACGTGAGCCGAGTTTGAGCCTATAGGCATGAGGCCCGATGGTATTTGAGCTTGAGCCTATAATAATGAGGCCCGATGGTATATGAGCTTGAGCCGACCCAGGCTCGGCTCACACGGCCCGATTGCCAGCCCTACTTATAAGATCATTACTCAAATACTTTAAAAAATAATTTTAAAAATAAGATTTAACGCTCATTAGCTCTTAAAATAACTTATCAGTTGTTTTAAAATAAATTTAGTAGGGGAATTGTTTTTTGCGGTTTGAAAATTGCTATTTGCGGTTTCTAACAAAAACCCCCCAAAAAACACTTTATTTCACTAAAACCCCAAAACTTCTCAAAAAAATCCAAAAACACCCCCAAAACGCGTAAAAGCCCAACTTGGGCGTCCATTCATGCAGTGCACGCCCAAGTTGGGCGTGCAAGCTGCATTTGGGCGCCCGAGTTGGGCGTCCGGTGCAATTTTTTATTTATTTTTTTAATGTTCGAACGCCCATTCATGCAGTGCACGCCCAACTCTTTTTTTTTAATGTTCGTTCGAAGATTTTTTTGCGAAAAAAAAAGCCCTACAAATCGATTTGTAGGGCTTTTTAACATGAAATTGGTTCCGTAATCGACCTACCCAATGCATATTACACATAAAAGAGTCGAAATTACATCAAAAAATCGAAGCCCAACCCTTCTCAAGCTTGATTTCGAATTTCCAAATTTTTTTTTTTGTTTTTTTTTGCTATTTGCAGTTTTGGGGGGATTTTTTGATATTTTAAAAAAATTTGGGGGGTTTTGTTATAAACCGCGAATAGCAATTTTGTGACCGCAAATAGCATTTCATTTTAGTAGTCATAAAATGATTTGTTTTAAGTAGGCCCATTGAGGAAACAGTTGAGCCAATTGATCCGAGCCCTATTTATGTTGAACATTAATGTGAGATATAATTTAAAAAAAAAAAGAGGATAATTTTATAATTTGGTCTTATCTCATGGATATTTTCGTAATTTCTGAAAGTAAGGGTTATTTTGAGAAAAGTCCAAAGTTTAAAATTCCAAGAATTTGGATCCTAACCCGACCCGGCCACAAGCTTTTGAAGGCCGCAACTCCAGAAAACCGGCCTATCAAATCTTTCAACCGCCATTGGTTAAAGTCTTTGTTAGGCAGTAAAACGCAGCAATTGCCACGTGTCGGCACCTCCTTCCCCCACGAATCCTACAACTTGTCACAGACCAATTTTTTAATCCAATTAATCAAACACTAGTTTTCCCACCTACAAGAAACCCTCACCCCCCAAAACCCCCAACTGCACGCCAATGACCTATATCCACTTCTCGCTTCCACCACCATGGACGACGGCGGCGGCGGCGGAGGAGGAGGAGGAGGAGACGAGTCGCGGGCGGGGCTGTACCGCGTCCTGCTGGATCGGTTCCAGAGCCTCGAGGCAAGCCAGCAGAAACTCCGGCAGCAATTCGAAGTCGTCCTGCAAGAGGAGACCACGAAGAAGGGGCCGGCTTCTGATTCCGGCGACGTGACGTCATTTCCCGACTGGGGGTTTCCCCCCTGGGCCTATTTCTCAGGGAGTCCGTACAGAAACGTGCTGGAGTACATGGGTCATGCTGTTCATGTCTGCAGCAGAATTCGCTCCTGGGAGATCACTTATTGGTATGTGTATTCATTTATCAATCAATGGAATTGGAGAAATTTCTAGCTAAAATAGTTAATTCATTCTTTTAATTCGTCGTTTTTAGGGTTTTGAACATGACAAATTTGGGCGAGGTTACTGCAATTATGTTTACGTGTAGTTTAATTTTGGATTAGGGAAAATTGGGATAGAGAATTCCTCTGTGCATTTTTGAAGATTATTCGTGTTACAGGAATCGTGCGGCTGAAAAACTGTACGGATATAAAGACCACGAAGTAGTCGGACAAAAAGACGTTAAACTCATCTTCAGCGAAGAGCACCATCTTTCAGCTCTGGCAATCATGGAGAGGTTGACCAACGGGGAGTCTTGGTCCGGTCAACTCCCCCTCAACAAGAGGTCCGGTCAAACTTTCATGGCGATGGTCACAATGAGCCCGTTGTATGAGGACCGCCGGCTTGTTGGAATCGTCACTGTGTCGAGCGATGCATCTGTGTTCAACGAAACGAAATTGGGAGTTGGTAGGATAGATTTCAGGAACCAACGGCCTCAAATCGTTGCAGCACTTCCTCAAATTCAATCCTCGATTTCCGATTTGGTGCTTATTATTGCTATTATCTCAAATATGTGTGTCTTTCTACGTCACGTGTTTATAAGTGTCTCCTTTTGGAGAGAGATTATACTTTTCTGCTAAATTGATCAGGCTTCGAAAGTTCTACAACGGAACAGAACTAGAAGAGTGAGTGAAGAAGCTGAAGTAGAAACTCCAGGTGTGAAAGCAGATAGACCGCCAAGAACCCCTGTAAGTTTTTTTTTTTTTTAATTCGAATTGTAGAATCCGATTTAATTAGTTGGAAGTGAAAGGATGAAAAATATTGCGTTTATGCAGATTTTGTTTTCGTGGCCAAAATAAATTGTTTTATATCACATATAAAACGATTGAGGGTACATAGGGGTCTCGTTAAAAACCCTATTGGCCATAAGAGGGAAAAGATTACCCCCGTTTTACAAGGACAAAAATTGTCGAAAATAAATATTCCTAGTTATAATATACAGTCTCTGCAGATTGCAAAGACTGCTTCTAGTGTATCCGCGGGGAGGAATGGAGCTGAAGTGATGAGATTGGAGAACGAAGCATCAACTTCCGAAATTTCTCAGCCTTCAAAACTTGTACTTTATCTTCCTCATTTTCCTTATGAGTTTTCGATATTATTAGGGGGTGTGAGTTAGAACAAAAAAATTATTTTCGTACATTCAGGTCCGATATTTTCTGATTCTGGAACAATATTCTTTACTCCGAATTCCAGTTTTTCCGTTAAATTTTGGAGTGGGATTGGGATTGGGAAGGGATTGGAACAAGATTTGATATTTTCGATATCAGAAAAATCCTTTTTTTGGGTTCAAAAAATACATGTAGGGCTGGCCATGGGTCGGTTTTATCGGTCAACCGACCCATTTTCGACTGATTCCTTTCGGCTGATGATTTTTTCGGCCGGTAATTTTGTTGTCGGGCCGGTAATTTTAACGATTCATATATAAATGGGTCGGTCGATGGTTTTCAGTTTACTCAAACGATTCATATATAAATGGGTCGGTCGATGGTTTTCAGTTTACTCAAAAGTCAGTTGGCCGATATCATCGGCGTACTGGCTTTTATAATAATTTTTTTATTATAAATATTTAATTGTATTTTTTATTTTTTTAATGTTATGGTAATATATAAAAGAGTAATATATAAAAGA